ATATGATAAAGGTATATAAAATCATGAGTGGTGTGGAGAAAGTGAATAAGGAAAAGTTATTTACTTGTTGCCATAATATAAGGGGCCACCAAATGAAATTAATGGGCAGCAGGTTTAAAACAAATAAAAGGAAGTTCTTCTTCACACAGGGCACAGTCAACCTGTGGAACTCCTTGCCTGAGGAGGTTGTGAAGGCTAGGACTATAACAGGGTTTAAAAGAGAACTAGATAAATTCATGGTGGTTAAGTCCATTAATGGCTATTAGCCAGGATGGGTAAGGAATGGTGTCCCTGGCCTCTGTTTGTCAGAGGGTGGAGATGAATGGCAGGAGAGAGATCACGTGATCATTGCCTGTTAGGTTCACTCCCTCTGGGGCACCTGGCATTGGTCACTGTCGGTAGACAGGATACTGGGCTGGATGCACCTTTGGTCTGACCCAGTATGGCCATACTTATGTTCTTATGACTCCTGACACGCACATGGAACCCCTTTGACTTCAATGGGGCGTTGTGTAGGGGCATGGGTCTAGCAGCATGGAGATCCTACAGGGTCAGGGGCTATAAAGATAGATAATACAGCAATGTGGGCCTCAAATAGAGGCAGCTGAAGGATAGAGGTGTTGAGCGTCTATGACAATGAGTGCTGTACAGTGAGTGCTGCATTGCTAGATTATATTAGCTAAGCAGGCAAGGAAGGAGGAGAGATGCTGCCAGATGCTGATGCTTTCAAATCCCAGGAAGTTGAGAGCATTCAGTGCTTGTCAAAGGCTGTTCATTGCTAGCATCACAGCCATTACTACCCCAGGGTTTCAGTTTCTAGGAAAAGACCAGTGGTAGGATTAGAATCTTGTATCTGCAGTAACTCACTGCCCTGGGATATCATTGAGGCCAAGAAACTAGTAGGATTCAGAAAAGCATTAGACATTTATATGAATAACATCACAGTTATGTAAGAAAGGATAACAGTATATAAAGGATGTAAGCACTGAATCTTTTCGGCATAAGTCAACCACTAATGAAAAGATTAGGAAGAAGCTTCCCATATGGGCATTTGATTGCTTAACGGTCAATTATAGGGGTTTTACACTTTCCTCTAGAGCATCTGATGCTGGCTGCTATGGGAGACAAGAGACCAGATAGAGCTGGGTGACTAATGTATTGCAGGTATTTGCAATTTTTTTCTTTTCCTTCTCCCACGAATAATTATTAGTAAATAATTTTTCCATCATTCGATCAGCTCTAATATGGCAACTGCTATTAATAATTATTTTATTTTTTATTATTTGCATTGTCATAGCCCCGGTCATGGATGAGGGCCCCATTGTGCTAGGCACTGTACAAACTCAGAACAAAAAGATTGGTCAGGCTGCTGCTATGATCAGACCTATACTATGGCCTACACAGTATGCACAGAAACGATGGTCTCAAGTTGCAGTGGGGGAGGTCTAGGTTGGATATTAGGAAACACTATTTCACTAGGAGGGTAGTGAAGCACTGGAATGGGTTACCTAGGGAGGTGGTGGAATCTCTATCCTTAGAGCTTTTTTAAGGCCCGGCTTGACAAACCCTGGCTGAGATGATTTAGTTGGGGTTGGTCCTGCTTTGAGCAGGGGGTTGGACTCGATGACCTCCTGAGGTCTCTTCCAACACTCATCTTCTATGCTTCTATATCAGTGGTTCTCAAACTTTTGTACTGGTGACCCCTTTCACATAGCAAGCCTCTGAGTGTCGACCCCCCCCCATAAATTAAAAACACTTTTTTAATATATTTAACACCATTATAAATGCTAGAGGCAAAGCAGGGTTTGGGGTGGAGGCTGACAGTTCATGACCCTCCCTGTAATAACCTTGTGATCCCCTGAGGGGTCCTGACCCCCAGTTTGAGAACCTCTGTTCTATATGAATAATAACCACCAGTGGTATTATTCATATAGAATATGAATATGCATCCGACGAAGTGGGCATTCACCCACGAAAGCTTATGCTCCAATACATCTGTTAGTCTTAAAGGTGCCACAGGACTCTCTCCGGTTTGAATAAGGACTGGGAATGGTTGAGCCATTACAAACATTGAATCTATCTCCCCTTGTAAGTATTCTCACACTTGTTATCTAACTGTCTGTCTGTACTGGGCTAG